TCATCTCTGTCAGGAAAACATTTGCAGTCATATTTAAACGGAGGCGGCTCATCAAGCCACATCATGAGAACAGGTGCAGCTCACTCATAATTTCAAAGCGAAATATCAGAAGTGACAGCATATAGGAAGGAGCCAGTATAAGACAAAAACCAAGGTGAACTGAGGCCAGAGTTGTCCTCTGTGTGGCTACGTGCTGCAGCCCTGTCTCCAGTGTGAAAGAGTAACGGATAGGAGACCAGTATGTGTAAGATCAGCCAGCTACGACTCACCAGTTACTTAGCAACAGTCGGTGATGGAGCTCCTGTTAGGACATTATAATCGGCCAAAACTGTTTTAATTAATAATTCTGGCCATTTAAACTCATAGTGGAGGAGTAAAGAAGCTCACTTTCTGTGGACTGAGATTGTCTATGATAGAACTGTTGATGGATGAGGTAGCCCAGGCTTAAATGTCACAAACGCCAGTCAGATTTCCTGAAAGGATAAGTTGAAGAGGATTTTTACAGGCAGATGATATTTGGTAACACCAGGGAGAAAACAAACAATAAGCCTAAACCCTTATGTTACTGAAAGCCCAGTTGATTAGAAAAGAAAAGAGTTTCTACCACTGGTGAACTGAACTGAAATGAAATGCACTTACCTAGAGCTGCTTCTCACAAGACTTGGGTTAGAGAATTCAAACTCTCACCACCTGCGCAGCCACAGTTTGAGCTCTGCGAGCCAGCTTGCATTGCAGTGCCTGAAGAGCAGCTGAATTTTAATGGCCATACCTTTGTTTGTCAACAGGCAGAGCAGATTGCTGTGTATGATCTGACTCAGAAAAGCTCCGTCTTCTTCCATATGTAATGAATAGAGAGATTTCTTGTTAGCATTTGAGTTTTTGTATTGACAGCTTATGGTTTGATCTGATTATGTGGGAAACAAAATGTCAGATACAATATTCAGGTTCCTAAATCTTTACTGAAACACTAAATATGCAATTATCTTCACTATACAAATTCAGTATTTTAGGAGCATGGCACAATATTGGATTATGTCCAACATGCTGTACAGTGGGATAATTTAAAGCTAATATTTTTATATTAAAAGGTCAAATATCTACATGTGATGTCAGTATGAAGTCACTTAAAGTGATGAAGCCACAGAGAATACGACCTGACTCAGCAGTTCACCTCAGCTCCACAGGGCAACTTAAAGTCACTGAGCTCGTTGTTCAGGTTTTATGACTCACCTCTTTACTGTTTGGTCCCCTCTCAGCTCTCATCAACTTTCTCTCTCAGATGCAGCACTCAGCTCTTTTAAGAAGGGAGTAGGGTCCATTAAAGTCACTGTAGTCAGCACCAAACAATAACCAGAATTAGCGACTTGCTTGTGAACACAGGGGATCAGAAGAAAGATGCATCAGCGTGGTGTTTTCGTACTGCAAGCCTCGTTGGACTTGCAGTATCTAGCACATGGTGTTTTAGAAGAACAGTTGGAGCCAGAAGTGGAGGAGGCTGTTTCTGCAAACTGACTGTGAGGTTGTCCAAACCAGATTAGCTACACTGGCTAAACCCCCTCAGCCCTATTAGGTGTCCTGAATATAGAACAAGATTTACACCTGATTCTATTAACAGGCATCACGCTCCTGAGCTCAGTGTAGCTTTCACCCTAAATAATTTTTTTTAACATCATTTCCGTCTCACACTATTTCTCACACTATTTCAGTTTTGCCCTCCACCTCCTTCAAACTTTTTTCTTTTAAGTATTCCACTTTTCCCTTCCATCTGTTTGTCTCTTGCTTTATAAATGCAACCTCTTTTGTTTTCTAATTCCCTCTGGTTTGTTACTTGGGAGATCAGAAGTCTTTCTTTTTATCTCTGCTCCTTGTCTCCCTGGTTTCCATCAATTCCTCTGCTTTGCTATGCAAATCCCCTTCGCCCTTATCATGCTTTCTACATCATTCCATCACTTTTTCAGTTTTATTTTTCTCTCCTTCAGCATAGTTCTGTTTACAGTAAACATATAGCCACATTTTCAAGGACAGCCTAAGAAGTAGGTTTTTTTCTGTTTGTACTCCTTTTGAAATAACTCCATCATTCACTTCTCTCTTTCTTTCCATTCCATTTTCCTTCTGTTGCTTTCCTCCTTCCTTTTCCTCTACCCAACTCCATTTCTTTTCCTTCCCTCCTCCTCATCGTTCTGCTGGTTCAGTCAAGATGATGCTGACGTCAGACCTATTTATATTTCATGTTTTCAGCTTTTTCTCTGCTGAGGACAGCGCTCTGCCTGTACTGCTATGCTTGGTCTCATTGCACATGCACATACACATACACGTGTGTGTGCACACACACAGGTAGAAGCTTGTGGCAGCAATGTAATTAAAGAGCATTTATGACTTGTAAATATCAGTGAGAGACAGATGTACCCATCACGTTGCCATGGAAACTCTTCACCTCCCAAATACTGTTGGGTATTCAGCATATGTGTGTGTGAGTGCTTAACTGGGTAAAGAAAGAATGACTGATTTTGACTGGGGAGAAAACCTCAGTCAATCTCATTGTTTTACTAATTGTGCAGGCTTGCTCTTGAAATTCTGCATCATATTTGCCGAATGTTAACTCGTCTCAAAATCCTCCTCACACTTCTACCTCCCATCTCTTGCCCAGGTGATGCATGGCATCCCTCTTGGTGTGGGTCAGCTCTTTGCCTGTGAAGTCCTGGGGCTCTCCTTCCTTATTCTGGGAACTGTGCTGCTCTAGTCTCCTCTGCTTGCCACTCATGCTGTACTGGGATCAGCGGTCAGAGCACTTGCTGGTGAGTCTCAATCATGTGTAAGGTCATCCTCCCTCTTCCTCTCCTAATTGATGTCTCTGCTTGCATCCTTGCCCTGGGCTGCAGTCTGGCCCTAGTCTCTTGTGAGTTCCCTAACTTGGGAATCCATCCATTATCTACAGCTACCTACTGTACCTTGTGCAAGGTGACACTGGGCTTTAACTTATCCCAGCTGACTCTAGTCAAGAGGCGGGGTACAGCCTGGACAGGGTGCCTGTCCCTCACAGGGCTGATGCATACGGTATAGACAGATGAACCACTAACACTGACACACTTAACACAGTGGAAGAACAGAGCACCTAAAGGAAACCGGGTACCTGTCCCTCACAGGGCTGATGCATACGGTATAGACAGATGAACCACTAACACTGACACACTTAACACAGTGGAAGAACAGAGCACCTAAAGGAAACCAGTGCAGGCATGTGGAGCCCATGCAAACTCCAAATCACATTGCAGCTTGGATGTACAACACTTTAGAGCACCTTAAATAGCTACCAGTTTTGTAATTTGTACCATTTACTGCAGTCATCAAATTTGTGCCAGTGGCATGATGCATAAACCTTTGTCTTAGGTGACAGAATAAACTTGCCATTTTCTGTATTAAACCCTCAGTCAACACTTCAAATAGCTTAGTGGCCTGTACTGCAAATCTTAACTTATAGTGGTTTAACAAGGTTAAAGTGAGGTAAGGTTTATGAAACCCTCTGGCAATAAGATAAAATGGGAGCAGCGTACATAAATATGAGTCTGTAAGACGAGCACTGCCTGTGGCCACCTGCTCGGCTCCAAAAGGCAAACAGCAATTAGCCAGGGTGCTCCTAACCACTGGCTTATATACAAACATATAAACCTGCTGCTGCTTATCCCTTTTACATCTGCCTCACAGTGATTTTATTCAGGGAGAGAGAGAGTAAATGAGAAATGTTGGTAGTTTAAAGGGCTTTCAGACCCCTGCTTCCATCTGCTGCTGTAAAATACGTTAGTGTCCTAAAATACTTTGCTGTGTCTGCGTGTATTTGTAGCTATGAGTCATGCTGTAAAGAATACAGAGGGGTGGGAGAGAGCTCAAACTTGTGAACACATGCTAACAGTGGCAGGTACACACGCCGTGAGACAGGAATTTAATCAGAGATGTGAGTCTAATGAGAATTGTGTAGTGAGCAGAGAGAACACAGCCTGCTGGTGCATGGCAGCTATATGCACAAGATCAAAATGGCAAATAAACCGTTTGTTACCGTCATTTGTGCAATTAGTTTCTTTCAGCCTTTCTTCCTTCCATCTCTTTTCATTGTACAATCCTGTTTTTACATTTTCTCCTGTGTGTTTTGTTTCTCCAAATCATTTGATGCCTGAAAGTCAGTCCTGGTTTATTCTTTTGTTTGGATGCTTGTAATTCAGACCTCTGTTCCCCAAACCTAAATGCACCTGTTAGCCTTTTAACTAATTCCAATAGACAGCAGCATGTTGCACAGCATCTTGCCCATTTTTCAGTTGCTCTGGAGTTTAAGAATTGATTTTGAGATGCTTGATATTTAAAGAATAAGGCTGGGAATATTCTACATGTTTCTTATTGTCAGCAAATCCCAAGACCAAAACCAACGATGAATCGAACCTGTCTGAGCTTAGTCCAATGTGCCAAGCTTATTTTTTGTCTAAAAGTGCATCAGTGATCCACACTGTCGCATTGAGTGACAGGTCCATTCAGTACATTGAACATGAGCGCTGTAGTATCACTCACATTTACAGTTTTGCTGTAAATACGCTCTAGACGACAACATTCCTGTAGCTGTAAATAGTCCAAATGCATTATTTGCTAAAAACTACAATGTACAGTTTTTTTTGTTTTTTTTTTAGGAAAGTGAACAGCTCCTACAGTATATGTGAAATATATCTATGATGCACTGTGCAGCTTAAAATCCTGAGACAGGTGTCATTCTAGGATAATTCCTAATTAGGTCCATATCACACTATTCACTATCACTCTAAACTTTTATTAAAATACGAAGGGAAATGTATCTTTTGTTCTTTTGTCTCTGTATTCATTCTCATTTTTATACTATAACTGCCTTTGTGCTTAGTTTTAGCTTGTACGTGCTACTTATATTCTAATTATTAGTATTATTACTTTGTCATGAGACACTGAAGCCTTTAACAAATGTGAAGCAAAGGTTCAGTCCCACTTTTTGGTGGTCATGAGAAAAATCTGTACAATTCGTGCTATTAGAAACATGTTTGACCATGGAGTTTGGTGAACCGCCTGACCTGAAGAAAGGTAAATGTGTGTATACACACCTACGCACAGAAACCAATGAAGCCGCAATGCACAGTGAGAGAGTTAAGAATTAAGTCCTCTGACAGAAAACCAGAGGGGAAAGAAGGATCAGTGCCAGGAAACAAAGAAGAAAGTGTCAGATGGAGAGGGGAGAAAAGGGATCCAGAGATGAGGAAAGTGGGATGGGGTATAGACTGAATGGAAAAAGTAGCGCCAGAGAGCGAAGCAACAAAAGATGCAGCTAAGAGGAAGAGAACTCCCCCAGTCATTAAGAGGTTTGAAAATGTGTGTCTCTGTGTGCACTGATTTGACACAATCTTAACACTTCAAGCATCTGAGCCCCTGGTTCTGTCGTCTTCTCGTCTCCTACCTCCCCTCAATCAATGGCCTTCTTTCATCTTCTCTAGCTCCTTTAATCTCACTAAAATCTTCTCATCATTCTTTTCACTTTGCACCTCAGTCTTTGCACCATTTTCTCCAGTACGTCTGGTCCTCACACATCTTCAAATGACTATGTAAGAGTAAAGACTTGGTTTTAGGGTTAAGGATAGATTTGGATTAGGGTAAGGGGTTAGGGAAAGCATTATGTTAATGTATCCTCACAAAGATGGCTGTACAAATCTGTGTATAAAATCACCATCCTCAATTATAAATGACCAGAACTGTTCCCTGCCTCCAGTAATTGCTTTGGATTTTTTCCCATGCCAACAGTGAGGCTCTAATAAGACTCAGTATCTTAAGAGTTCAGAGGGTGGTGTCTTTTCACCTTTTTAAAGCTAGAAACAAAAAACTGGAAGAACAACAAATGGATTGAACAGTGTGTTTGCTCTAATGTAAGCTGTAAACATTAGCATGCCAAGTGTAATAGCTAATATCTATATGTGCTGTGCGAAAAACGATGCTCAAAGAAAATCAGTAACTACAGTAGGACCAGGTCATCATCATTCTGTTCATCACCACTCTAGCCTTACCTTATATAATCATCTTCATTATTTCAAGGAAGCTAATATTATTTTTCCCATTAGTAATTGCTTTATTATAACCTTTTTCTTTCATTGACATCATTTTCCAGTCTTCACCAAGAACAATGTTGCCATCATTGTCAATATCATTATTTTTGTCATCAGTTTAATCTTTTGTTTTCAAGGATAAAGCTGAAATGGGAGACCTAAGACAGGCATACAACAAATGTTTAGACACATACGAATCCCTGACAACAGGCAGGAGGGAGTTGCTGTATAGCTCGCTATGTGTAATCAGCCTCATCACCTTTTCATGCTTTGTGAGAAGGAAGGAGAATATACAGTAGCACGGGTCAGACAGAGAGGACAGACAGGAATTTCATCAGGGACAGGCACAATGTGAGGCCATATTTAGAGCTGTCACTCAAAGCACTGTGGTGTGACCTATTCCCCTAAGGGGTTTCTGGAGGAAGAGATCAGGGGCCGTAAGTAGGGCAGAGCCTCTACCTCCTACTGCAGTCGCACTGTAGGTAAAGAACTGTGGAAATGCTTCAAGGTGAGATCGCAGTGAGGAGGTAGGAAAACGTGAGCCAGTTATTGAAGTCAGCTGAGGACTTTGTGTAAGTGGCTTTGAATTTATGATGTCAAAGTAAAAATCTCGCATCTGCCCTCTCTGCTAAGACATATTAGCAAACGGGAGAGAAAAGGAAGACCAAAAGGGCTCTTAGCCTTCCCCTGCAACAAGAAATACATTTATTTTTATTTTTTTTTCTGGCTGAGGGTGTTTATGACTTGAACTATGCCCCCACCAAGTCTACCTGAGGCAAACTGGAGAGGACAGGGAGAGTTATTTTAAAAACTGCATGTTAAAAAGCTGTGTAAAAATAAGATGTAGTGATTTCTTTAGCTACTGTAACTTCAGCTGTGCAGGATATAAAATAAAACTGTGAGCAATTATAAAGCACTAGAACGGTTAGTTGTATTTAAGTTGACCATTTGTTGTCATTTTTCATTTGACCACTGTCATTTTCACTCTGTAGGGGTTTCCAATCAGATTCCAGGTGTGGCCAGTGCCATTCCTGGCCACCCCCTTGGCTCCGCCATAAGAGCTCCTAAGAAGAGCTATATACAGTCTGGAGCATGAATGAGAATTCCCTGAAAATTGAAAATGAGTGAAGTAAATGATAACAGTCAAGATCGGTCTTTAGAAAGCTAGCCATGCTAGTGGTGTGGCTCTTGGGATGATTATGTTATTCAAACATATGTTCAGTCTGTCTGTCCACCACTTTGGTCGAAACTCATTATTGCCTACAAGCCTATACAACATCTAAAATGAGGCCCTTGGCTGAAGAAATGTTGGTGGATACAAAGATTTATCACACACACAAAGCAGTAGAACAGTTAAATGGTGCATGGACAGCAACAACCTGTTTCCTCTGCACCTCATGCTGCTGTTATCTGGGAAGTGTTAACGAATAAGCCCACACACAGCTGAACCCATTTAGCTGTATCTGCATACAGTTTTCCCCTGACCACCTTAATGAAGAGCAAAGCCCCAAATGCAACATTTCCATTAACACAAGGGATCATGTACATACAGTTCATTTCAGCTGCTCATTTCATTTTATTACACTGTCCTCCATTTAGTCTTCAGTCACTGTGGTGTGATACAAAAACTGGAGGAGAGGAGAGGACGTATTAGGTTTGATTTGATAAGAGCTCTGTGACTCATTCTATTAGCATAGGCAACAGTACACTGAGAGAACAACAGTAAAATGTTAGTATCCTCTGGGACATCTCTCCCACATTACCATCATTCTTTAATAACACTGTTATTTGAGGAGAACAAAGACACGTGATGAAGGAAGCAAGAAAGTATTGTGGATGAGAAAAGAAATGCCAAGAATGAACAACAGGAACATTGAGAAGAATATAAAGAAGTGCAGAACAAGGCAGAGACCAGATGAGCGCAGTGGGAGCCGGCTGCAGTAGAGGACAGCTGTGAAATAGGAAAAACAAAGAGAGTGGATGGCACTGTGAGGCAGCAGTGCTGGGGTGTGGTCAGTCTGCTTCAGGACCAGACTGCTAAACTGCAGCCCACAGTGTCTGGTAACAAGGAAATCAATCACAGCACAGCCTGAGTGTCATTTATCTACAGAGGGGCTTCCAAAACTGGCAGTTACTGCAAATCCTGCAGTATTAGTACAAGTGAGATGCAGGGTGGAGCAGCTATGATTGTCACTGTAGGAGGATGCCTTCTGAAAAATGGTCACTACATTTTAAAAGAAAAATCTGGCACTCATCAAAGAGGGAATGTGCTCATATGACAGGTCAAACATGTCAGGGAGCAAAGGACTATTCCTTCACACTGAGCCAGCAGCACCTTCAGCTGCATGTCTGTATAGGTAAATAATATATAGTTAGAGCAAATGGAGGGTTAGAGGGTCACTCCCCTGCACAGTCAGACTGTGTTCAGTCATTTTTTATGACATTACTCGAGAAAATAAAAATACACAGGTTCTGCTGCAGGGTCTGTGCTCTCACAAACATAAGCATTGTATATATTTCAAGGAAAGAGTCAGGAAGCAGGTTTAAAGCTTTTTCTTTTCCACAGCTGAACAGTGGCAGCACATTATCTGGGTGGGGCAACAGGATAGATGGCCTCTTCATGTACACACACACAAATGCAACCTGTGCTACTTCAGAAACCCCTTAAGAGAATAGTTCACACACAGATTCCATCTTGGTGTTTATCAAGTAGCAATAAATGCTAGAAGTGTTCATAGATTGCCAATGGCGACTGCAACCACAGTTCATTTATATGACACTTCTAACATGCAGTTTTTGTTGATAATGCTGTGGCTCTAGGGATGGTAGTGTTGGCTGATCTACCACTGTGGTCCAGACTGGAATATCTCAGTGACAGTTGGATGAATGCTATGAAATTTTATATATTCATGTTCCCCAGATAATGTTTCCTACTGACTGAGGTGATCTCCTCACTTTTACTCTAGCACCATAATGAGATCCACATTTTTGATTTTGAGTGAAATGTCAACAAATATGTGATGAACTGCCATGAAACACAACACAGATCTTCATGTCCCCCATCAGGATGAATTGTAATCATCTACCTCCTACATCAGGTCAAATAACAAACTTAACCTTAATTATAAATGTTAAATATTGTAGGAAAATATTAAGCCCTGTGTTTGCTGATTCTGAATAAAGCTTCTTGGTCTTTGCAGCCAAAGCAGCAACAAAACACAGTGCAGCTGCTGAATGCCAACAGAGAAAAGGTCAGTGCATCTGGCTTTGCTGAAATTTATCTGGGTCAACATGCCCCCTGTGCAGTCTGCTAATAGCTTCAGCATCACAGTCTGGTGTTTGGTTAGTGTGGACGTGCATGTCCACCTGGTAAATTCTATGATCGTTTTACAGTAAAAGACCATTTTAGTGTAACCCCAGCTCAGTGGAGACAGACAGGTTGTTTGTCACCGCGTTCCCTTGGCCCAGCCCTGCTCACCATCACCACATAACTACTGGCTGAACACAGGCAGTCTTTTCTAAAATGGAAAAATCCTAGATACATGAGACAAAGCAAGCGAATTAGAAACAGTTTTCTTAGTGCTGTAAACAATGTTACCCAAGACTCCAAAGTACTAGGTAATAGATATTGTTAGATATGTAAAAAAAAATATAATTTGAGTAAGTATTGAAAAATCCTCCATATTGGATGATAGATATATATGTTCCCTCTATGTAGACATGGGAGATGGAAAAAGAAAATCAAGCAGTGTCCTGATTAGATTACATGCAAATCAAATATTGCACTGAGACCAACCATACAACAGTACTGTATGTATCTAGCACCGTCCTATGGATAATTCTAGTACTGCAAATTCAGCAGAGCATCATCATGAGTGTGTATTTTGATGTTTTCCAGTTCTGCCAACAGTAAGGTTGCACTGACTTTTATAATCAGACTCATAAAGATTTAACTGTCTCTCTCTCTCTCTCTCTCTCTGAGGGTAATAATTTGTCAATTTAAAGCCTGACCTGTTTAAGTGATCTATTTAAACTGCTGCTATTTAAGCTTCATTTTCACTTGTGGCTGGAGGAAATTTGACAAAATTATGCAGACACATACACACAACACATCTAAAAGTGCAGCTGCAGCACCATGGACATTAGTGCTGGCCAGTCTGGCAGGTAGCTAATTTGTTCCCATTAGCTAAATTGTTCTTAATTGGAGCTTGCATTGTGTTTACTAAGAGGATCAAGTGCTGCTTTGAGATACAGTGTTTAGAGAAAATATTTAGCCTAAACCCCTTCTCTTCTTCCCACAGGCTTCCTCTCTGCATATGTCAACATTGCTCTGAGCAGTCTGCTGGGAACTGTGAGCGCAATTTACACTAAGTATGTATGGAGCTGCAACACTGAGATGGTCTTGATGGTGAGTCAATTTTCACTTCAGATTTTGTTTCATTTTGTATACTCTGTAGAATAGTACTGTTTCAGAACACTATCAAGCTTTCAGTTGGTTTGTGATGAAACGTACACTAACTAATACCTTAAAAGGAGCCACATTAGTTTGCATCAGTACTGTAATGCACAGGAAAATAACAACTACTGAATGTGTCTCTCCTTTTCTTGCCCTAAGTGGGTCTCCCAGCATGCAGTTGGGCATCTATTTTAACAACCACACTGATGCTGCTGCTGACTGGCAGGTTATGGCCCCTGAACACAACTTGTGATCTTGCAGCCAGTAGAAAGCTAGGAACACCCCAGGTAAGGGGAGCACCATTGTCTAGCATGGGGTAGCACGCATAAACACACAAGAGTTCAGAGAATTGATACAGTACTCTCTCTCTCTCTCTCTCTCTCTGCGAGCTGAACAGCTGGATGTTTTAAACATTTTACAAATTTTTAGGTATGTGACACTTCCATTTCATCAGATAGATATGAAAAAAAAAGAGATCTAGTACTAAAGGAAGGTGGCAGTGTATTCTATGTTCAGCAATAAAATGCCATCACACAGCTATAATCTAAACCTCAGTATAAAAGTATCAAATGTGCAGGTTTTATCTATGTTTTTGCCACTTGTGCTACTACAATAAGTGTTCCTGTGCTCTGCAGCAGTGTCCCAGCTGGTCTTGTAATGCCAGTGTATTTCCAATGACGACAGATTAAAAAACAGCCAAGTTAAAGGGAAAGAAAACATCTTTTAATTGGAATAAAATTGACAATTCAGTTCAATAAAATCATTTGTTGTTAAAATGACAGTTTAACTGTTATCAATAAAAACCGATTAAATTCTATTCTAATTATTTTAACCCCTTTCATTTCCTGCATAGACGTAGCACACAGTACCCCACTGGAACTCGGTGTAAAAACAAATTGTACCTCAGTGCAGGCAAACAGTGAGCCAATGAATACATACATGTAGTGGCATGAATGCATGTTAATGTTATTATCATGAAAGGTTCTCTTAAATGAAAGAGTCATTGTACTTTTCTGTGGTTTGTTCATTATTTTTACTTTTTCCACAGTGCTTCATGTTGCCTGTGTACATGTTTAACGTAGTTATGTTCCTCGTGCACATCCCTATTCCCAAACACACCCATGTATTAAATTGGACCACATATCATGGTGTAGTGTTAAAGAAGTTATTCTTTCCATACAGGTGAAGTGACAACCTTCTGTGACAAACAATGACATCTTTTCTAAAGCCGTTTTTAAATCATGCATTTCCATCTCTGTGCTTTTTGTTTACATACGTTTCAGCTCAGGGACTGGAGTATTTTACCACGAAGCTTCTCACAGACAGCGGGGAGGAGATTGGTAACAAGGACAAACATACAAAACTGCCTTTCAGGCTGCAATTATCAGGCATAATAATAAAAAAGAAAAAAATTAAAGTAGAAATATAAACACTTGCACAAACAGTAGTGTGTTTTCAAGCTGCATTACAAAAAGATGAACATTCATAGTTGTATGTACTTTCAGGTGAAGATTTGACCAAGTGCTGTTGTGCTTATTTTAGCATGACTCTGTGTGCGCATGTGTATGTCTGCTTGTATGCTTGTGTTCATCATGGTCCAGAATAAAGGCAAAATGTCTCTTATTATATCTGGCACATACTCACACATGCACACAACTCATACAAAGGACACACACATACACCATGCACACGCAATGTGATGTTTACAGCATCTAACAACTATGTAAGTGATATTAAATGGAGGAGAGGTATTTAGTATTACAGTATGTCCAATTGAACTATGTGTAAACTTTAGATAGGCGTTTGTCTGTGTTGTTTTCATGCACAGAAATCTATTATTTTTGCAATTTTGTTTTGTTTTCCTGATGAATATTAGCATGCATGCACTTGCATTGTGTTGTTATGGTGTCTCCTAACACTTGATGGTTGAGAAAAGCCCTATAAACATTTTTCATCAATATGGTCATGTTAGAACATTCCACTGAAATTATAATAGTGTGTTTGTGTCAATGTCAGCACAAGTAGTCCTACTCTGTGAACAGCCACGCAATGTTTTGTTCTTCATGCATGTAAACATTCATCTAAGCTAAGTAAGTGTAAACAGTGATGCCATGCCTGGATTTGGTCACAACCTAGAAACAACATCCTAACTTAACAAAAACGACATTTTCAAGAAAATCATGGAAGCAGAGCACAAGATCAACATAGCAGCTTTGGGTACTGGAGGAGAGAATATCTCATGTTAACTTAAAGGAATAATTTGTTTATATGCTTTCTTGCAGAGAGTCAGATAAGAAAACTGTCACCACTCTCAGGTCTGTAGGGTAAATATGTAGTTTAGCTTAACACAGACTAGATCCACTGTTACAGAGAACTTTGCTGCTGCTGTGATCTAACACTCTGCTCCCATCTTAGTCTATTCTGCTGTTGACCACCTTGAAACTTGACTAAATCTTGTAATCCTCAGCCAAGAGTAGAATCCCAGAAAGATTAGAAGAGCTCTGCAGAGGTTTAAAATCAAAGCTTATTTTATATTGTGTAAATTCCCCAGAAATCTTAGGATTCATCCTTATTACTTCCACACAGACTCAAAGGAATCCAAAGTGGTCCTTTAAGGAAGTTTTTGCTCTTAAAAAAAGAAAATACAGATCCTGCTTCTTTCCAAAGCTGAGCCTTCTATATGTAGTGTTTCTAACATATTTCTGTGTATGTAGGTGCCTTTGTGTATGGATTTGTTTTTGCATGGCTCTGGTGCTGTGTATGTGTGTGTGTGTGTTTAGGTTCAAAGCAGCCTTCCTAGCACCACTCCTTCTCTGCTCCTGGCTTCTCCTCTGAGGATCTCCAGGAAACCTAGCTTTGTCAAGAATTCCAGTCTCTGACGGTCTGTTGGCTGCACCTCGCAGAACACGCCCTGAGAGCCTACACACACAGACAAACACAGATCATAAAAGTTGTTTTTAAGACGGAAGACAACACTCACCATCTGGACACAAATGTGTACTTGTACTGTATACACAAAGTAAAGTAAATAGTTAATTTAAAAACAATGACTCATACAGCACCGAAGAGTCTACGCTAGCTTTTTAAGAAACATTTAACAACCACAGAATCTCAATGAGGATTAGCATCAGCTAATCAGCTAGGGTTGATGGTACTTTAAATATTTTCCTTCTTTCTTTTTTTGACATCAAAGGTAAATACACACCAGAGTCGGGCCTTACCGTTGGCCTTGAGTGCTGCGAGGAGGGCAGTGACCAGGGTGCGGCTGACGCTGACGTCCACCAGCTCAGGCAGGGCGTCCAGTCGCAGCTGAGAGGGGAAGTGGTAGAGCAGGGAGTCTGGGTACTCACCCTGGTCCTCCTCCATCAGTTGGATCAAGTCCTACATGGAGGAACGCAAAGACACAAGGACGGACATTCTGTCATGTCATTCGGTCAGCTTCCTGACTTGTTTTGTTGCAATTTGTCAGGTCAGAGCTTGTTTGCTTTTCCTTGCTTCCCCATTTAGTGTTCATCACTGAGTTTTATCTGCATTTGGGTCCTCATTTCACAAACTGTATGTAGCACATTCTTATAATGTTTTCCTGATGTTAATGTAGGTAAAGTCCTATCATCCTCATCATCTTAAATGACTCGGTGGGTGCTCTGCATAGTTCTCTGTTGTTGTAGTTCTTATAGCTTCCACTAGATGTAACTAATGAGTTACATTTGACTGACTGTACTCATTAATCAATGCCTGTCTTTTGTATGTTAGCAGTGCATGACATTTGTGCACTGCATAAAAAGCAAAAAACACACAAAAAGGAGAAAAAAGCCAACATTCAAGAGCGGCGCGAGCAAACACGTCAGCCTCGAGGGGCGCCATGTTGGTCTTATGATCTCATCAGACCAGGGTACTTTCAAGTTGCCCAGCAATCTTATATGAACAGTGGCATCTAAACAGACGGTGTAAAGACTATTCATAAAGTTAAAATGTCCCCAGATTTATTTTGAGCATATACTCAAAGCTTTGTAACATCAGCAGAGTCTCTGGTGTATTAGCAGCTTTTATTTTGAAGGCACAAATTCTGTAATTAGTCTGATGTACTTCCTGTCTGAGAAGCTGATGAGCATTTTTTCCTCTCATGGAAAATGCTAGCAAGGAGGGTTTTTGCTACCTAGTTTTCCACTTATAAAATACAATATGACACAATACAATGCAGTGTGAATTACTATGAAAATACAGCTATAAATGATTACATAATTACTGATCCTATGTTCCTATGTGCAGTGAAGCAGGTATAGATGCCATTCACATGGCTGTTTGGCTGACTTTGATAAAAAGTAAAACCTTCAGCTGTAAAACTTGTACACCTTTGGCTGCAGTGTGAATGACAGTCACCCAAAGTGGGACTGCCAGTGTGCACCATGATGCACAGAGCGGGCGGATAAATCCTGACTCCTTGTCTCAAATTGCTGAACTGTGTGTCATAATGGGCAGCAGAAACACTGTAACCAAGTATGTCACTTTCAGCAATATATATAGCACTTTCATGTCAAGTGCTATATAAAGTATGGACACGTTTGTACTTGCCATTGCACAGAGGAAAAATAACTAGACTGTTCATGACTAATGCTTTTCTCCACCATAACCACTGAACTATATCTTTTACTAATTGCAACTATATCACTGCTGTACATGCACCTGGTAACACAATAGCTAACTCTGGTTGCCATGTCTTGTATGTTCAGAAACTAGTGCCACCTACTTTCCAGGGGTTATTAATCCCCTCACAGGGGGATCCAGATGGTGTGACTGCAGGTGCGGATACAGTATGTCTACACATTTGTGTGCATAATTGTACCGGTGTGTTGTGTGTGTCTGTCTGTAATATGGTTACACTCCTGTGCCTTTGAGAATGACAGAATGATTAAAAGGGGGGTTTAGAGACTTCTTGGCTTCTTCTACTTGCCATATTTACCTGTGTGCTGGGGTGTGTATTCCCTCCTCTGGGTGGATATTTGTCCCTCATGGCAGGCATCCAGCTGGCCTGGCACCGCTTTGCAAAGGAGCGCACATCCAGGACACCCAACACACACCCACACACACCCAGCTCATCCTCCAGGATGAAGCTGTACTCGGGGGATAAGGCCAGGCAAGGTCCGAGACATCTAGGGAAATGAAAAGATCGTTGTTTTAAAAAATGTGAGTGTAGTGTTCTAATATGATAAATATCCATTGTGGGGATGTTTTGAAATGCAGGGGATTACTGCTTCTCTTTCTTTCTCTCAAAGCCCCACCTGTCTCCTATGACATCTGGGTGAGTAGCATTGGACTCTTGGCCACCCTGAGTCCTCAGGTGAAGCTGGCGGACCATCCGATACAACTCCACCTACACACACATACAATGAAAGGATTATTTTTCTAAAAATGATTTTGAGAGACGATTGTGATTTCAAACCTAATGAAATTTATAATTGATGGTGTGAGTTCAACAACAAATTCAACACATGCTCTACAAATTCTTGCTTGATGCCAAAAATATGCTAGTGTTAATTCCAGTGGAACATGTATCTTATATCAGTAGCATGTTCAACACTAGCGTAGTGTAAATTGTCACCACCAAGTGATTGTTACTTGATAACCGGTGCAGTGTTGACCATTTTCTCCATGAGTGTCTCTGAGTGAACTTCGAACACTGACTTAATGTTTTTGTTATTTATATAGGCGTAAACACAGAGTTTTTATCTATCACTGCAACAGTGTTAATAATGTGAACACTTTCAAAAGTGTTATTTTAACACCTTTTAGTGGTTCCCATATAAACACTAGGAAAGTGTTAATTTTAATGTTTAATTTTAAAGGTGATAAATTTGCTTTTTCAGATTTGGAGTGTGTAAGCTGATGGGATAAAATGCTAGTGGCAGCAGAAGATGAAGTCAAACAGATAAGAGACAACCTACATGTATTTAGATATTTCTCTATAGAGTCTAATCCAGCAGTAATGATTTTACTGATTGGAGTTTGAGTTGAGGTTAAAACTAATGGGATTTTAGATGTTTAATACATGTTTAAAAACTGTATATGAACAAATTTAATTACAATAGCAAATACAATTAAAACATTTTAAGGCTATATGCAGCCTACAGTGCATTCAAAAACAGAATTTTAAACTGCGTTTAGTCAATTTTAAATCTTTTAGTCTTTTAAGATGCATTTCTCTCTTGGAATTATTCACATAATCTCCAAAATGATCAATAGGCCTAACTAATAGAAATGTTCTATCAGTGTGACCAATAAGAGCACAAACAATGATCATTCATAGATGTAGGCCTGAATTAAAACAGCTTTACACCCACCAGACTTTGGTCTGGTGGGTGTAAAGCTGTAATGCACAGTAGCTGTGACAGTGCAGAGGAACTGACTGACAAGCTGACGGCTGTCTTTATGTCCACACAGTCACTGTGTTATAAATATGATAAATGACCTGCAGAGATTTTATTATAAGCTGAGGATCAAACCACACTGTAACAGACTAAAAGTATTTAAATGTGAGGAGACATCACTGCCTTTATGCTGATGAATGACTGAACATATTAAGTAGACTAGTTTGTTAACTGGAGCTTTAAACCATGCCTCATGGTCTTCTTCACCACATGGATTTAGCCAAGTTCTTGACAACTGCTGAGCCACTAAACTAATATATAAACACAATACATCAATTAAGGCCATGAAACATGGTTAAAGCCTCAAAAAAAAATCTAGTAAGTGGACCTTAAGTTGTTTTATTTTTCAGACTACACTCTCCAAGTTCCAAGAATCAACTAATCTTTAAAGGGATAGTTCAACATTTTTGGAAATACAGTAGGTTGTTTTCAGTCACATGACTGTTCAGACACACAAAACTCAGACGGAGCGCAGGAAATCAAAAACAGAATGAAGAGATGGAGGAAGGTCCATACTGTATTAGCTTTAATAATATTATGAGAAAAAGGTATAAACAGAAAATCACATCTTGTTTGCTGAATATCATCCTTGCGTTATGAAAAGGAGCCATTTTTCAACTGAATTAAACCAAATAGCCTGCTACTGAGGCCCATACTCCACTGTCCTGTGACAAAGGGATTATGTCTATGGTCCTGTGGATTAATCTAGCAACAGACATTCAATGTGCGGTGCATCTCAACATTAACTTAACGTAGGTTAACTGCTCTCCAGGGTCCAGTGACACACCACTAAAGACACTGGATCATCATAAAACAGGACAGAGAAGTCACTGCAGCTTATTGCAGGGTAGTAGTTGGCTAGTTACATAAGTGGTCACTGCACACAGGAGCATTATTAGCCCACGCTGCTCCTCCCGAACCTAGACAAAGGCTTGCAAGCTATTTTTGCTGGTGTTATGCCAGAGTGTGTTTCCCCCTAGTAACTTAACCTGAACCTAACCTTATTCTAGCCCTAACCACTGAGGGGGGCGCTAAGGGAAACCACTTTAACAGTAGGAAATATTTCAACGGGGAACACATTTTGACATAATACCAGTTTTTTCAGTCAATTTCTTGCATTTTATCCTTTTATGAACAGCATATTTTGGTAGGATTCTGTTAAAGCTTCAACTTTGTTGGTGTGATCACTTTGATTAGCTGTAAATTACACACATAGGCAGTTTGAGAGCATGTGGTAGTGCTGCCTTTGTTGTAATTATCTTTATTAACTAAAGAGAAAAGGCTTGTGTTCTCTAACGTGTTATGTATAATACTATTTATGTGAATTTGTGCCACAGATAATATTGTGGCAGATACCATGAGTTCAAATAAAACATGCTGCTCTAATGAGAATCTGGTCATTTTACAAACAAAAAGTGAAATATGAAGCAACTCAATTCAAATGACTTTACTGGCATCAAAGTTTAAATAACATTGTGTTTTGAGAGAGTGCTGCTGCACATGCATAATTGCACATTGACTGTTGACTGCTGCACATGCTGCTCCCCTGCAGCATACATTCACTTATTATATTCTTATATATTTTTATTATATTGCTGCATTTGCTGCTTAAAGTGCCTTAGATTTTGTGTTATTTATCTACTTTATATTTATTTGTATTTTGTGGCATTCATGTGGACGGTAAAGTAAGAATTTCATTGTACAGGGAAACACGTTTCCTAACTGTGCATATGACAGATAAACACTTTGAACTTGACCTTGACCTTTGACCTTGATAAGTTTTAAATGTATAACTAGCACCATCATAATTTTAAATTCAGTTTGTCTGAAATACAGATACAGCACTCTGCTACGAAAAGGAAACAACACCTACAAACATAATCACAGTGTTCATTGAACCTTCTTATGCATTTATATTTCACTTGTTTACCACAGTTTACCAGCTGGTATCATCATGGAGTTCCACAAGAGAGTTGGCTCTCTGCACATAATGTCTAAATAGAAAACTACCAAGCTAAGATGCAAAGCTTCTCAGAAAACCTTGTGACAAAGTAATGCTTCTTGTTTTCAAAGGGTTCTTTTATTTAGTTGTATTCTCATTTTTATCATGAAAATTAGGCTGCAGGTTTGCTGCTGGGTGTTCCAGACTCTGAACTTAACCCTGAACTGTGGGCTGATTAACTCTAAGATAAGAAACTCTGATTCAGGAACAGCTGAATTAGTTCTTGAGGTGATTCATTCAGAGTTACGCACTTGTGCGTGATAACTATAAAAATCCGTTACATCAGTGGAGCTCCGATACTACGATTCACCATGGCAACGGGGAACTAAAATGCTGAGCTGTCATTTTAGTCCAGAGAAGCACAAATAATTAATGCACATTTTTTAAAAACACACACAAACACACATCAGGAGCACATGAGATCAATGTGTTAACATCATTACATTATATTCAGTGTAGTCCACTCATTCATTTGTTTAGCACGGGGTTTTCAAGTAATTCTGCCCCAGGGACCAGTATTTGACTAAGACATAATCTGAGGACCACTGTGGGATGGATAAAGTGGATGGGCACTATTTTAATCCTGAAATCCATCTTGGCTTTTCTAATTGTTAGATTATTCACAAACCACAAGTAATACCTGCCAGTGCTTCCACCCATTATCTATACAACTTATCCTGAAGAGGGTTGCAGATGGAATTGCTTAAAAAAGATTCCTATAGTGAAATTACAGTACATTATTGAATGTATCATAAGGGACCACGTCCAATGCCTTCACAGACCACCAGGGGCCACAGGCCACTGGTTGAAAACCCCTGTTTTAAAGAGATAAATAATACAGTTTTCAAACCAGATACGCTAAAAATTTGCAGCTGATGCAGTGATTGTGTATAATGAACCTTCGTTCCATTTCTTCACTGCACCTCTTTAAAAATATTGCATACTTTTGTTTTATGTGTGAAACAGTTCTATATATGGTTGTGTCTTCTCCTACCTTGTCCTTGATGTGGTAGGGCCTGACATTGTAGAGACGAGAGGTAGGGAAAAGAGGAGGAGGGTGAGTGAAGAGTTCATTGCTGCTGCCTATAGGGAGAAGCATCTATACAACACATATAAAAGGGTTGAGCTACTAAGTCACATAATATGATTTTTTTTTTAAATGAGTGCACACATACACAATAAACAAAGATGAGTAAATCTATGGATGATGATATACACACACTCTACCTGAACCTCTCCAGACACGCCCCCTTTGAACACCCATGGCTCTGACTCCACTCCCAGTAGCTCTGCTCCTGTTGTCTTGCCACACCCTGCCACAGACAAGAACCACCATCACTACGGTGACTTCACGAGCTTAGGTCTAATGAAATGCCAGGAAATGTATCAGCAAAGATGGAAAATTATTACAAAATTAAACCTGCTTGAAATATTCAATGTCGGCATTAAAGTTCGGTGTTTTACAGGTCTACATGTCGTTTGGAGATGTTGGCAACAATTATTTCATTTTTTCAGGTTTGTCTGTGTTAATATTTGAAGCGTAGCTCATGGTTCAGTCCTCACTGAGGACTCCATCTAGCTAGTGCTGAGAAATGATGACTGAATGCTGAGTGAAATTTTCAGACTGAATTTACTTGAGATGAGAATGATTTGCGCAGCAGAGGCTACATGTAGTTAGTGACAAAGAGCATAAAGGTCACTCACAGTGGAAGCAGCTCCTCCAGGAGCCCAGGGTGGAGCTGTCACTCATCACTCGCCCATCTGATTGAAGCAAGTGTGTGGGTGGGGTGAAACAAAAGAGATACTATACTATACAATAGCTTAATTTGGAGACTGTAACAGAGTATAGCATAATACTTTATATCATATCAAAGAATAACATAATACAGTACTGCACAGTACAAAGATAGTATAACAATAGAACCAACACCAAATACAGTAGTTCAGTAAATCACATTAGACCACTCTATTTTCCATTATTTTTCCTGCTTTCATCTCTGTGTCCTTACCTAGCCAACATATGAAGGCCTTTGCCACCAGAGCTGTGTTCCTCAGGTCCCACACATAAGGGTAAAGGTCGTAGAGCACCGCCCTGTTGGCCCCACCCACCACGCTGCAGTGGAGCTGTGCTATGTCTTCACAAAGAGACAGGAACCTGGAGGCCCGGCCACGCCACTCATCAGCCTAGAGATATACAGTACATACATATATGCAACAAAGTCATATGGACACTGCTACTGTGAGTATCATGCTCTCACAGAAACCACTCATGCTGGACTAATGCAGAGGTTGAGGCAACAATTAGTATTGGTACCCGAATAAGATACTGAAATAGAGACTGTCACAAACACAAATTAAAATTCTGCCAACAAGAACTCCACACAAAACAAACACCAACCTTCTGAGCCGCTGCCTTCTTGCTGTTAGCACCGACCAGGTGGCAGTTTGTTTTCAGCCAGGTCAGGTCCTGTATTAGTTTCTGGGCAGATGGGCCATGTTCATGTGGCAGATAGTGAAGACCCACCAGCAGCCGCACCTGGGACTCACTTAGCATGCCCTTTGCACAGCAGTGCCCCCGACCCTGGACCTTCTGTCCCCGGGTTCCACCTGAAGGTGCTCCAGGTCTGGATGCTGGAGGTTGGTGATTTTGTTGACTAGGCTGGTTGGTCCTCTTCTTCTCCCCCTCTTGTGTCTCCCTCTCCCCCTTAACCTTAATGGGTGATGGTGGAGGTGAGATGGAGTTGAGGGGGAAGACAGGGAGCTTGGCCACAGAAGTGGTCCCTCTGAATGTGGAGGGGCAGCTGGATATGTCTGGAGTTTTGCATCGAGATGCTGTTGCAGAGGAACGCTGCTCTGCTCGTGTGCTCTGTCGTCCTACAGTGAATTAACAAATGATGACATCTTTCCAAGTATAAATCCTGTTGTCACTGGTGTACTAATACAATGCAGTTAAGAGATGAATTGATTTCAGTTGTCCACTCAGAAATCTTGAAAGTGACTGAGCAGCTGAGGGGTTTGAGTCCAATCCAGAGTCACCACACACACACACACACACTCAAACACAACACCAAGTCATTTTTTACCTGCTTGTAAAGGCTGATTGAGTTCCTCCATCCAATCGTGTAGTGCAGCAGACAGAGCTCTATCAGGGCAGTACTCGTACTCCTCATCTGGAACATATACAGCACTGTGTTATTATATATAAGGACTCTAAATAATGTATTTATACAGACACAGTGTACAGTCCTTTACATAATCAGTCTGTGATGTTCACTACAGTCCAGGTGGAGATGTTTTGGTGGATAGGCCTACCACACACACCACACACACTACAAGTAAATTCAAAAAGCAAGATCCCTCTCAACACCCCATACCTCTTCATTTCATGTACAGTAATCATTAAAATCCCTCATCACAAGCTTCAGCCTGCCCTTCATCTTCTCCCTTACAGCCTATTTCAAGCCCTCTGCCTTCTCTGTCCTCTTTTCCCTTATTTCTTCCTTCATCAAACTACACAATTACAGTATTCCTCCACCACCACTTCAGCCCCTTCCACCATTACTCTTCAGAACATCACACACTACAGTATATGGTTCTCTGTCCTACAGTTTTCCATCCAACTCCCACGTTACCTCTTTATTTTCTGGCTGGCTCTAATGTATTTTACTGTCCCGTTAAATTAAATGTAATAAATATGAGCCAAAAGTCAAATCATGGTGATGCAAGGGCTTCTACAGCTCCACTGTTATAGATTTCTAACACAAAGTCTGACAGTATTCCATGATTTCAATAGAAAACAATAGGAATGGAAAGAATCTGTGAACAGATCAACTTTTCCATGAGAGTAGATGGCAGTTAATGAGATTAGTATGACTCGGTGTTAGGGAGATGTTTATTTTCAGAGAGCTTACTGAGTGCCTTTGTTCAGGACAGATGGAGCTTTAATTCCTCCAAGTTAATTTATTTATTAAGAATTATCAGACAAATATTCTGCCTAGTGGTTAAAACTGTGTTTGTTACCAAGCAACAGTGTGTTATTAAGCATGTTTCCTGAAGCAATGAGGCTAACTGTACATGAGTGTGGTCTGGCAGAGCCAGTATTAGTTTATTAACCCGGAACATCTTCTATCTCATTACTTCTACTTCCTCCTTCCATCTGCCTTCCCTTCACCGATGCCTTTACCTTTCCTCTCCTCCTGTCCAGCTCTGTACCAGCTCCCCAGTGTATGCAGTGGGATGTAGTTGGCCTCAAACTCGCAGTTAGGGTTGAGTAACAGGCCTCTTAGATGGCTCTTCAGCTGAGGTTCTCGATCCTTGAAAGGACCCAGGAAGAGACGTCTGGAGTCATAGTCATTGGCGTGCAGGTTGTCCCAGATGAGCGGCGGGCGCTGGAGGACAGACTCCACCTCAGCTAGACAGTCTACAGACAGTTTCCTGGTTATGACCTTACTGCCTGTGGAATGAGAGTGACTGTGCATTATTTCTTGAATAGTTTTTTATTGCATATTTTGCACGCCGAGCTGTAAGTGACATGCAAACTGCAATTTGCAACAGAACATATATTCATTGCACCTTATCTTTGAAACTTTTCATTAATCAAAACAAACACTCTACGTGTGACCCCGGGAGGACATGCAGTTAAATCCACCATATGTGAAACATGATGCTGATTGTGTAAACAGTGCCTTTTGTCCTTTACAAATGAGTCCAGGGTGAACAAAACAAGTCAAGTCTGAAAAGAAACGTGGTAACAAGTATGTATAAGAAAACAAACATAAAAATTCAAGTCAACAAAGTAACATTATCAATGAAAATGCAAACTCTTAGGTACTTTAAAGCGGCTCCCACAGAAAAGCTTCTGAGATGAGCAATAAAACTGAAACAAACTAAAAGGGAGTAGGCGACAATGTTTATGTATATGTGCACTGTACTTCCATATGCATGTGGGCGGAGGTGCACCTAAATCTTTTTTTGGTCTGTGGAGGAGGTTGTACGCGGATTTGTACTCGCACTTGCACAAGCCGAGCTGTTGTTGTTACTTAATGATTCTGGTTTATGTCTGCAGGAATACTGGCACAGTGTACATATTTGATTTTTATTCATTATAGTTAGTTAAATCAGTTAGTTCATCAATTATAGATTCATTTATATCAATGTATTTATGTGCCTCACCTGTCCATATTACTGTTATGTTGGGCAGCAGGTCCTCTCCAACAGTCTGCAGGTAGGGAGACTTCGATACACTGGGAGAACACAGAGAACCGCAGTACTCTAGAGAGAGTAAAACAGATTTGTTTTATCATTGAGTTTTATAAATTATTAACAGCCCAATTAAAATGACATCAAATCGCATCAAACAACAAGTTTCCCATCGACAATACTACCTGTTGGGCAAAAGAGGAAGACAGGTGGTTCCCCCAAAAACTGATAGATCTCATTGGTTATTGTGACCTGAGCATGAGCTAATGAAGAGAAGGCCTCACTGTCGGCCTGACACATGGAATGATCTATGTCATCAAACAGGATGGCAAATGCCTGGCAACCCAAGTCTGATACCTAGATAGAGGGAAAAAAGACTATGCATGAGGGAAAAAAATGAAATATAGGCTCATTTCAAAAGTAGTAATTATTTTAATGTGTGTTATATACTTGTCTCAGCTTGCGTTTGAGTAGTGTCAGGTCACAGGAAGAAGAGAAGACAATATCCTGACCAGGAGAGAGGGCGTAAACAAACCTCAAACCTCTCGACTGGGCCTCCGCTATGAGAGTACGTAACTGACCTGGGGGAGGAGAGGGAGAAGGAGACTAAATGAGACATAATGGCCAAAATAGAAGAGAAATTATAATTTTAACTCATAAAAAAGGGAGGGTGCATGAGGGAGTGTGATAAATTGAATGGATGTTAGCAGGCTGATAACTCAGCAGTTTTAGCTAAAGTCAGTCACACAGTGCTTATGTGAACAAAAATTCGAAAAAAGTTAGCAGATGTCTGGGAATGATAACCATTAATAAACACTGATGTTTCTTTCTAATCTCAGGTTTGCATATATGGAAGGGAATTCAGCTCAGCTCTGATGTCTCCAGACTAACACCATTCAGTATTCCAGGGTACAATAAAATATAAAGAGACTATCCTAGGGCAGCTCTGGTACAGGTCTAGACCAGGTTTGCCACTACACTGTAGTCGGTCTGCAGCACATATTTCAAGTCTTTGGGGTCAAAAGAGCCTCAGATCATAAAGACATGATTATTAGTCCACTGATGCATCATTGTACTAATGTAGCATTGTCAAACTCCTGAAAAAAGTGATACAGCAAAAGCAGAGATAGCGCCTCTTTTGTTGCCTACATTGCCCACAATGCAACTCCACCCACAAGAGTCTGGCTTGGAATTCAAGTGTTTTATACTTGTTGCAGTTAATACAGATAGCTAATATAGATAGATGGATGAATGGGATGTTCTTACTCTCCTCTTCAGAAGAATAGACTTCTCTCCACAACAGTCTGTGTTTTAGGTCATCTTTTGGACCATACAGGTAGGTGTTCAGCCCCCAACGCTGCATCCTGGTGCAGAAAGACAAGAACATTAGAGGCATTGGGAGAAAACAGCAAACAAGATGCTGAAATGCAGTTTCATCTGAATTTAGAACAAGGAGGAAAATAAAGTTGTTAAAATTTAGCATGTTTTTTGCTCAGTATTGTATTTTTCACTTAACCACCTCCTGGCTTTTTGAGCAGATTCTGAAGGGATCTAGCATCATCTATCCAAGCAAGTCACTTAAAATACATGATAAGCTATTCTTATCATAGCCCTGGGGAGACAGAGCTGAGAATGAAGAAGTAAGACAAGGACAGAAGGGAAAAAATAAAGCCAACAAGCAGCAACAAAATACATTCACTGTATTGATCGTAGGGCTCCATCGGCCGCCTGAGTTACAGGAAACAACCTCTTGAATTATAGAGCATAGTACTAGAAGTGATCCAATATCTGCATCAGCATGCACAAACACACGCACATATAAAAGCATGAATCTGGCTTTCTCTCGCTCTCCTTATGAGGACGTGGACCAGCTCTCGTCTTTCCTGTTACTTGTGGGTGGACTGTGTTTCTCACTCTCTCTCTGCTTCATTTCCTCGACAGATGGTATGTAAGTCGCCTCCACAAAGCTGCAACCTACAGTACCTCTCTCAAGCACACAGACACACACACACACACACACTGACATACTGTACACCCATCCACTATTCTGCCAATCTTACGCAACGCTCATTTATGAATTTTGCCTGCACCCCACATTTGAGTCTCAAAAAAAGCCGACCTATAAATAAACCAGGAGCCCACACACTCATCCGCTGTTACACTGGCAAAGTTTAAAATTCATGGCCTGTTCAGCAGAGCTGCTGCATCTATAGTATACAGACAACATCATAAATCATATATTATCTGAAAATCAATATACGTTTGAGGTTTTATTATAGTGGCCTGGGCATCGCTGCAGACTGTATGTTTTTATTACAAATACTATCAAATCATAATATGAATAGGAAGAGAACCATTGCAGTGTAATGATTTGCTCTGTATGTTTAAGAGCAGTGGAAAGCAGAGAGCAGAGGGAACAGCTTTTCTTTGGGGATGCAGACGACTGTTACTATTGGAAGTGGAGCTGCAGAACTATGTCACAGCTCTCAACAGGGATTTATGTAGTTTCACTCACATGTAGGAGCTAAAGTTCAACATGATAACATGCTCACAATGATAACAATATTGTAAGACAGTTTCAGTATAATGTGTACCATGTCCTCCCTAGGTTTACGTGTTATCATGCTAACATTTGCTAATTAGTACTAATCACGAAGTACAGCTGAGGCTGATGGGAATTAGTTGGTCTTTGAAAAAAGTATTGGACAAATAGTAATTTAAAATGCTCAAGGTGCTAGATGAGGAGCTAAACGTTAAAGGATCACTAAAAGTGACAATGATTCTTCTTGAGGGGGGCATGAATGTGTGTACCAAATTTTATGGCAATCCGTCGAATCGTTATTGAGACATTTTCCCAGTCTGTATAACTCCACTACAAGACACAGCAAATCCTGTCTGCCCCCTTCCTCCCCCCTTCCTGTCACCAATAGCTGAGTCAGGACTGATGATGAGCCTGCCCTTTGCCACGGAGTCATTCCGCGTCAGTGATTTCTCTCATGCCCTCCTGGCACTGAAACAGAGGTGTACAACTCCATATAGCCCACAGGCATCAGGTCAGTAGCTCCTGAGCTCAGCACATTCATATGAAGAAGAACAACAGCTCAAAAACATCTGCTGATGAAGTTAACAAGACATGCATTGACACCTGTGTTGACATACATAGAGTAAACAAGGCTTGCAGACACTAGGTTTATAACAGTGTGGTGGTAGGCTTACCATTGGAAGAGAACTTTCCTCTGATCCATAGACCAAGGCCTCCCATAGAAACCTGCAGATAAACACATAAAATGAGTGCATACATACCTGTATATTTCCACGCCTTCATACATGATCACTGACATAATGAAACACCTAGAGCACTGATCAGCTCTACAAAGCCATGTAGGAGACACACTTCTCTTACTGATCTGTTTATGGTATGCTTTAATATATTGATATTATTGATATTGAAGCAGTAAATAAAATCAGCTGTATAATAAATGTTGATATCTTTGCTGCAAATGTTAATCTGCAGGTGGTCACTGAACATGCACCACGGCATACCACAGCATGTAGCAAGGGTATATGTAACTCTGTAGCTCTGCAATAAATGACAAACTCCACTTTGTTACAGCTTGATGACAGTATTTGCTGACATTACAGCTACAGAGCTGTATGTATTGGGACATAAACTGATGCAAGGTCTCCCAGTACTTACTTGTTCATATCTACTCTGTGTCTGGCAGAAGCATAATTCGTCTCCAGCTGCACTCTCTATCACAGTCTATTTTTAGAAATGGGAGCATCTCCAGTGCCTCTCTTCCTCCTTTTTGTTTTTGAATATGTCAGTGTGTGTGAGTGTGCACTCGGGTATATGGGTACAGTAAGTGGGTCATAGTGAGAAATAAAGGACCCACTAACAACCTGGAATGCTTTCTCCTGCATGCCCATAGAGAGGCTGTATTTTGATGTGATTTACATACGTGTGTCTGTGCAGTGCTCCACACTAAGCCAAATCCAATTACTAACTGTTGGATACCACCACATGGGAGAGACACACAGATTTTGGAGGGTTCACAAAGAATTGGTAATAAGGTATGAGGGTTTGTGCTAGAGATGCATGATGGGACACAGTTCTATTGTCACTACAATATGAATTTCCATAATAATCCTAAAATAAACCTATTCTAAAAGGGTATAAAAGCAGAATTAACTGAGATTCACAAAGCTGAGAAAAGCTGAGGAAAAGCAAATTCCAGTGCTGAAACATTCAGTCAGTCAACTTACAGAAAATGTCAGTGTTTGTGATAGCAAATTATAAAATTAACTTGATTCAACACATTACAATTAAAAATGTAATAGTATATATATGTGTGTGTGTGTGTGTGTGTGTGTGTGTGTGTGTGTGTGTGTGTGTGTATGTATGTATAGATAGATAGATAGATAGATAGATAGATAGATAGATAGATAGATATGGCAGAACAAATCTGGTTTATCACCCACACTCACTAACCAAACATGTATTAAATGTATATGGATTGCAATAGTTGTCTTGTGAAAAACATTTGAAACCCATCAGATTTTATTTCACAGAATAGTTAATATTTATTTCCAGGACTGTGAAATAAACTAAGCATTTCAAATGTTTTTTATTGTACCCCATTGCACCTTACAGTATCTTACTATTCCATTAATTACTTTATCACACCCTGCATACAACATTCTTCACACTGTGTATGTGTGGTTGTCAGGTGAGGGGGTGGGTAATGGGTCAGGTATGTCACAATCCCACCTTTCTTCTGTAGCAGCTATCATTGTCAGCTTCTTCTTCAGCGTTTCCTATTGTGTCTGCTGCGTTGCCATTGTCATAACCTGTACCATCATTAATATTATACTAGTGCTGTGGTTTTGTCCTCCTCTTCTTTATCACTATCCCCATCACTTCTTCATCTTATCTTAATCGTTCTCACCCTCATTACCATGATCAACATCATCACAGCATCTTCATTTCAACCCCTAAAATCTTCTTCTTCTTCACCATTAGTATCATTATCATCATCTCCATCACGGGCTTCATTACCACCAGCCATTGTGCTGAGTATATTCTTCCTTTTGGCTGCAGCTTGTCAACCTGACTTTATTGAAAGCTTTTCACCGCCAGCTCTTTGATTTGCACTTCAAGCCTGACTGATCACCACCACATCATCTCATAAAGATCTTGACATCCTATGTATGTCAGTGTCATTAACATAGAGTAGGCTATTACTACTCCCGCACCGGCAGCAGATGAGAACAGGCTGGGTTGCAAATATAGGTCAAACGATGGTCTATTCAAAATCATCTAGCCGAGGTGAGAGAAAAGTCACATGATCTGACGGGGTCAGATATGAAGTCGGCTGCTCTTACCTTCCACCACCCCACAAAGAAACTGCTTCTTCTCCTCCATCTTTCCCTCAGCCCCGCTGCCTCCCTCCGCTTCCAGTCGGCTCCTAACGAGCGAGGGAAGACGAGATGCTGTCCCCGTCTGTCGGTTTAGATACCCGGTATATTATACATGGCTATCCTCCGTCTGCTTCCTCCTCCTCCTCCTCCCCCTCTCCTTCTCTCTACTGTACATCGCCCTAGCTGTCGTGCTGCGTTCAGGTGCTCAGCGGAAGCTCCAACTTTCCAACACAAAAGGTGCAGGTATAGTCACGTGATTATCATAATAACACTTCTCAAAGATTAAAAATATCAAAACCTAATTTCAAAACCTGACCCTTTACATGAGGCTATTTTGGTGAATGGGTTTATTACATAATTATATTAGTGATATAAGAGTGATCACTCTTTTATAAAGAGTATTTTGTTATTGTTCCAGCTGGTCTAGTTTTTATGCTACAATTTTGTCTTACATCCATTCTGTTAATCTCTATACGTGTGTGTTTCAGGACCTGAATCAGCCTTCATTAAGAATGAGTGCACCATCCTGGCTGTCCAGGCCAGTTTGCTGCCTGAGGAGATATGGCACAGCAACCAGGTCAAAAGCACCAATAGGGTGAGTACAGATCAGACAGAGGAAGTACAAAACACATTTGAAAAAATTAAGATCTAGGGTGGTTTGTTTCCACCCAGACCACCTAGTGGTGGATAGTGCAAATTAGCTTCGACTAAATGCTCAATACATACTGCATCTGTTGTACTGGTTATCTGTATGTAACAATGTTTATCCTTAAGTAGGACAGCGAGTTCCATCATGCTATAGGGGAATCCTTTGTCTGACTTCTGATGTCTAACTTCTCCAGTCATACTGACTGAAGCAGAGGTACTATCTAAAGAGGGTTGTACAGGCACATTACCTCTACAAAACACAAACTTCAGTCCCAGGCTTAACCACAAGAGGCAGTATAACATAAGAGATAGCAAAGACTTTTATCTGTATATTTCTCCTCAGTAAATATTGTGTAATTTAAAGTGAAGACTGAAATTCTTTATTCTTGTTTTATGTTCTTTTCATGTGGTTGGATTGATGGATAGTTTTTCCAGGACTCTAAAGACATGTTCACAGTTGCAGACAGTAGACATCATAATATATGTAGCATTCCACAGCATATTCTAAACAAAAATAAGAGTCTGAGTCATATCTGAAAATGTCTATAATGAACAGTAAGAGTGTCTGACACATAAAAGTAGTCTTTATTGTTTTAGTGGGCCATGTTCCTATTTGTTTGATGATCCGGTGTGAGAATTTACCCCATAATGGGTGACACAAGTGTACACTGGAGTTAATGGCTGATGACTTTGCACTGAAATAATGACAGCCTAATTATAATGAAATGTGTGCCCAAGAATAATGTCTTTTATTTGATACATCTTCACCATTATGATGGCATTTGCTGCAGAGTGTGATAACATGCCCCACTCTCCGCTAGAGTTTCAGCAGGCCTGTAGAGATGTAGTAACCGATGTAAAAAACTGTGCTGCTCACAGTTGTCTTTCCTTTGTCTCCTCAGTCCAGAACATATACTATTTATAAGTCAGTTGTTTTGGATCTTAGAATGGACTTTTTTCAGAATTCAGAAAGGTGTGAAAAAAATCTGGAATCTTTTATGAGAATAGAATAGGATCAGTGTGAGACCAAGCTTATTCTCTGTTATGGTTCACAAGCTTGCTTCCTGTTTGGTGCCTTTATTTTGGTTTCATTTACTGGTCTTTTGTCCCCTCACCTGCCCCAGCTTCACCCCAGTGCACAATTTCTGTTCATTGCCTCCACCTGCTGCTCGTTACCCCCTGGTTTCCTGTCTATATATCCTCCTCCCTTCTCTCAGTCTAGTTGCTGGCTCCTCTGGTTTCCATGTCCCATAAGCTCCCGTTCCCTGGTCTCTGTACCTAGTGATGGCCAATTGGGGCTTTGCTACAGTATTCACAAAAATCATTAATTACTCGAGGCTTCAATGACACAGTACTTGAGTAATCTAGTGGTCAATAAAAGGAAGTACAATCTAGATGTGTCATTGGTTCATTGATTGTTTGGGATTTGATTCCCCATGCATATTCCTATTCAACTACACTACATGGTTGTATGGTTCCAACACAGTAAAATATAAAATAAACATGAACTCGTGTTGAAGACCATGTTTCTTATTTGGCATGTCTAATTGTAACCCTATATACTCTTCACTTATATTCTGTGTTATGAAACATTTAAATGGTGCTGCTACATTCATTAAATGTGCTCTACAAATTTAGACCGATATCATTTTCACATGAGACTGGTGCAAATACTATATTATGGGCTTTGGCAAAGTATGTTTTGGGGTTCATTTGTAAAGAGGTTCATGGGAACATGGGTAGAGAGGGTATGCTTGAAGAACAGGGCAGCGGGTGTGCTTGTGTAACTGTTATCTAGATATGTACAGTATATCTAGCTAGATTGTTAATCTCTCCCTCTCTCTCTCTCTCTCTCTCTATATTCTGTTTTGTTTCCCCATTGTAGAAATACAATCGCTGAATTCTGATTATGTAAATGACTTATCTATATCTAACGTTATTTAGGACTATCTATGTAACTATATCTATCTAGTGTTATCTAACTAATTTATCTATTTCTCTATGTAAATTACTATCTAGCTATCTATTGATCTCTCTCTCTCTCTATCTACAGTGATTTTCCACTAAATACACAATCTGCTACAACACTACTAACTCTCAAAGCAACTAACAGCAACAAACCAACCTGCACTGCAAAAATTCAAATGAACGCCACTAAATAGGGATATATCCTATCTCTGAGCACACTCTATCCCGCAAAGTGAGTCACATGACAAACCGAATCAATAAGCTGATTTGTATGACGTCCGAGGCACTCGGGTGCGTCTAACGTCACTAGTCACGTGGCAAAAACATGATCGGCACAGTGGTTCGATACAATTGCTTCATGAGCTACCGCGCATGTGTTGGAGCCTGCTGTGTCAGAGGACCATCGCTATCTGTGCCTCGTTTGTCCTCGTCCCTGCGCCCAAGGTTTGTTTGTTTGTTTGTTTACTTCCTTAACCTGCTGCTTCTGTAACCTGTAAATGGACTTCTGTTTCCTGTGTTCAGTGTCTAAACTTAAACCTTGTTAGTCTTGTGTGGACACATATATTTGGATGTTTTCTCTGCCTTGTCCACGAATTCAATGTTTTGAAAGTAATTTGATTGTTTCCCTTGTTTTCATTTTTGTATCGCTCCCTGACCAATTAATATTTTTCTTATGCCTGTTTGTGTCTTGGTTGCCTTTTTGTTCCTTGTCCCTCTTGGTGATATTGAACTGCTTTAATGCAAAGACTCTTGTCCTGGTCTGCATTTTCGCCCTTCCTAGTCTGAAAATGTAACATTCTCGAATCTACATTTCAGAAGCATGACAAATAGATCAATTCTCACAATGTTTACAAGCTTAACCATTTATATCATGTTTGCTACACGAGTTTCTGTTGAATATGATCTGCTACATGTATTCTGTCCTCTAGCGGATTATCATTCCACTGCAGGCAGTGGAAGGGCTTTTTTTGGCCTTTTCAAAATGGCCACTGTCATTAAATCTTCCACACACTTTTGGGAGAAAAAGCTTAGCTAATTTTCAAGAAGTTACGGTAAGAATAACATTTATATTGTTACTCATTTTTAAAATAAATATTTTTTGTATTGAAACTGCATAATTACTTAATAATTCATTTTTTATATTAAATTGTGTTAAAAATGTGGTATCAAATTTGATACTGCAGGTATATAAGGTGCTTTATCCCTGAACAATCTACAGAAGAGACCAGAAGAAGCTAGAGCCCCAGATGAAACCCATGGCTTTGTGAAGGTTTCAGGCTTTGGTTGGCACTTCTCTCACCAGTCCAAGAAAGGCCAAAATCAAGTGTGGCAGACCACTATCCTCTCCAGAAGCAACTCCAGCACCACCCCGTAAAAGGCCAAGCTGCAGTGTGCCTCTTGATGTAAGAAGGGATGGCATAGATTATTTTACAACATGGGAAACCCAACAGAGATGCAAGCACTGCACCGGTAATCACTTCTCACATGTCTGTTTTGAGAAGTGTAAGGTACATCTTGGCCTGAACAAGGACAGAAACTGTTTTTGTGCCTACTGCAAAGTGAAATAAAAAGGCTGTAAAAAGTTTTATGTAAAGATAAAACCAAAGAGAAAAACTGCCTGAAAGAAAAAGCTTTATATTATTGTCATTGTAACATGTACAACAAAATTTTGTTTGGAGCCGAGGGCCCCAGGCCGCTGCGTGCATACGCACTGCCATCACGGGCAAGTTGGGGGGTTCAGTGTCTTGCCCACGGACACTTCGACATGTGGACTGCAGGCACCACAATTTGAACCTTCAGTTTGGGTGACGGTGTGGTGGTTAAAAATAAACAAGGTACCAGGCCAGAGGCAATATGTAATAGAACAGTATGTGCTTCATATATAGATATTATTTGTAATAATTATGTAAGGGTGAGCTAAGTGTTTATGAAGGCCTCTTCTCTTGCTCAAGCAAGAATATCTTGGGCTGTGTCCACCTTGTTTAATTTATGGGTAAACATCCAGAGCGACTTCCTCCTTAAATGGGGAATGGACCTAGCTGCAGCCTTATGTGAACTGTTTGTGGGCTCTGTTCAGGTTTAGAAAAAGGAAATGTGCGCCAGGTCAATGCGACCTAGAAGTTCATGTACTGGACATCTTAGACAATGCTCGGAAGGTGTGTGGAGCTGGCATGAGACTGCGTCTCTGGCTCGGGCCATAGAAGGCTGTGTAACTGCGAGCAGATAAAAGGCTAGGATAGCTGGGTTAGAGGAGAGGAAGAAGAGAGGATGAGAATGCTACTGTGAAAAGTGAGCTTAGACCCGGCCGGGGGAACGCTGACTGAGTGTAGGTTGACAGACTGACTGAATGACTCTAGGCAGACTGACGCTTCTGACAATCTTCTTATTTAATACTTTATCAAATTTCAGGAGGAGTGACTCTGTTCTCTGTTTCCCTAACTACCCAGATTACCTGTTTAACTACTACTCTGTTCAGAAAAATTGTAATATTAAATGATCATTTAAATTGGGATTATTTGT